CAAGAGTTTTGTCCAAAATTCACAGAGGAAGATATTTTCAAATGTTTCAAATCCGTGAACCTTTCATATAGGTTCGAATAGCATGTCAGGTTTTGTATTCAAGAAATGTCCTTATATATTATGTCATCCACTAATTAACACGTTTAATAGATTATTTTCAGGAAACACTGTACTAGTTGCCTGGAAAGATATTAAGATAGTCCTTGTATGTGAGTCAGTGACTTCAGGCGCATGTTCGAAATCCCATCCGATTGCAGCTACTTTTCCGTTCCCAAAAATATTGGAGAAGTTAGTAATACCTGTGAGTGAGTGAATCCTCATTGAATGTTTCTGGAGATCCTAATCAACATGCATACAAAAAGTCTCTGCGTTTTTCTTCGAATCTTTCTTTGTCCTCCTATATCTTATTAATTTCCAAAATAATTCTCCACCTAACTTACTATTTTAGGAAGCTGAGAGCATCTAGTATAACTCAGTCTCTCATTTTGTGTTTTATAGATTTCTGCATTTTATCTGTTCTCAGTTATTATTTCCCAGGGTTCCTGAAAAAAGACTATACTATATTGCGTGGAACTTTGAAAATTATCGACAAAACTTGTCATACCCCTTAACCTTCCAGTTAAAACGCTTGTGGACAAACCCATGTAAAGATCTGGTAAGAGCTATTTTAACAGATGACCAGAATCCTCTTCACTCAAAGCTCTCTACGTGTTGGTCATCTGGAAAGAAAAAGAGCAACCACATAAGACTTTATACATGTACTACTACTTTACAATACAGTGCGTATTTAGATGGTCTCCTGTGAGATGAACAAAGTATCAGGAATAAACTAATTAATCAATTTCTATTTGGACGTTTGTAGATTCATCATAGAATGATATCAGTTCATAAATGCGTAGTGCTGAAGAGTGCCATAGTAGAACGAAACATCTGCTGTCCAGTACTCCCACATTTCCAATGTTCTTCCAATTAATGTCAGTCCATAATGAATACCAACCAAAATAATCAACATTCTTTATTTTAAAGCAAAGTAATCAATGAGTAAACAGTTTGAAGTTATCTATGTATTACAAATTTAACTCTCCGTTCTCAAGAAAGTTGTAGATGGAGTAGATATTCTTATAATTTATACATAATTTCTACTTATTTCATTTTGCTACGTATACACCGATGATCTTCCTGATTGTGGTGATCTGGATCATGCAACAAACAGTGACAAGCGAGAAGAGGGGGATACGCTGGCTGGACTGAGGAAAACATCCTAGAAGATTTGGATTTCCACCAAGACCTGTGTCTAGTGTCGCACAATTTCGAAGAACTACAGGCGAAAACTAACAAGTTGACAAAAGAGGCAGGGCTGCGAAAACGGGACTTCAAGTGAACGTACAGAAGACAGAGGTGGTGATAATACCCAACCAACACCACCACCAACAAGCTCCAATCACGATCAATGGGAGAAACTTAAATGAAGTAGTCTCTTCCACCCACCCTCCTAGGCAACACTGTTTCAACTACAGGCGACACAGGCACAGACAACGACGTCAAAGCCAGACACGATCGGAAACACAGCAACACAGGCCTTCATTAACTTGAAACCAGTGTGGAGATCTACTGCACTCCACTCAGCATAAGGCCTGAACAACATCCAGATATAGATATTCAACACTAACGTCAGTCAAGTGAGTCAATGCTTCTATGTGATGGTTGAGAGACTTGGTGTGTTACAAAAGGCATTTCCAACAAACTACAGACACTTATCACCAACAACTGCCTACACTAGTTCGATACTGGAGATCAGATGGCAAGAAAGAACAATAAGAATGAGCAAGAAGGAAGTCACTCTGACTGGCTGGCTGGCTGGCAACGAACCAATGAAGTAAGAAGCTATTGTTCAACAAATATGTAGTGGAAGTAAGTGTAGATGGATTGAGGATACACTGAGGTGGCCGACTGGAGACATCAAGCGCCTGGCCAGGGCGTCGAGTGTAACCCGAATGGGAAACGGTGAGTTGAGCATCTGTGGCGAGGGTGATATAGAGGAAGGAATGAGAGGTTGTGGTCTGTCGTGGAGCGAGGTTCAAAAGATTTCAGAGAAGTGAGTGGAATGGTTATGTGCTACTGAATTCTTATGATCCATTAGGAACCCAAGGGATAAATAATAATGCCGAAAACTAACAATCCTAGTAGGATTTATGCAACTATTAAAATGCATAAACCAAGTTATCCTACTAGACCCGTAGTAGACTTTAGAAACAACTCCTACTTATGAGTGATGTAAATATTCAGCGATGGTACTAGGTCCAATTAGAAACCGTTCTAAATCAAGACTTACTAACTCATGACTTGAAGAGCAGATTAGATGACATACATTAAGATGACGATGAAAAAATGGTTAGTTTCGATTGTACACTGACATATCGATTGGCATGGTTCTAGAAGCAGTTAGAAACGAGCTCAATAATGACCATGAACTTACACTACGAAGTAAGGTACCAGTAGACGATATCATGCTAGGAGTACAGTTATGCCTAACTTCCATAATATTCAGGTTTCAGAATAAAATATACAAACAAACAGGAAGAGTTCCCATAAGGTCACCAATACCGCCTATTGTCGCCGACATATTTATGGATACTTGGGAATGGATGTCTGTGGAAAAATTTATTCCGGCTTCAAAAATATGGTTTCGCTATGTAGACGATACGCTTACAATGTTGAAACCAGAGCACATACACAGTTTCTTCATACACGAATTCAGTAGTCAACACAATCCAATTCACTTATGAATTAAGAAATAGTGAAGGGGAATTAGCGATGTTGGATTGCAGAATAAAAAAGAAACAAGATGAAAGTTTAGACACTAGTGTCTACAGAAAATCTTTCACATTCAAATCGTCTCACCCATATCAACCAATTAAAGTTGGCTTGGTGAAGTGTCTAAGCAACAGGGCCCACAAGCCTGCTAGTAAAACAGTAGATCTAAGAGAACAAACCAGTTATATTAAGGACACCTTACTCATCAGTAATTACCCTCCCAAATCAATTGATAAGTTCCTTAGGAATCGTGAGAAAAATATCAGTAATACCAGTGTTAACAGTAGTAGTAGTAGTAGTAATAATAATGTTGTTAGTAGTATTGGCAATACTGTGAATAGAGAATTCAAAACGTCCACAGTATTACTACTATACAAGGAAGGCACCCTTCAGAAGCACTACATAGGATTCTCAGCAAACCTGATTAGAATTAGAATGGCATTTAAACCTAAAAACTCACTTTGAAATAAGCTTTGTAGGTAAAAAGATCCTATTGATTCAAAATAACTTAGTTTACCTAATCCCTTCCAATGATTGCGAGGTGAAATACATAGGTCAAAGTAGTCGACTAGGGTCAATTAGGCTATCCAAGCTCAAAATTCTATCTATGTCAAAATTGATAGATCCTAATAAGGCAAGGAATTTAGAAAAAAGCTCAGCTATAGTTACTCATGCGAATACACACAACACGATGGGACAGGGTGAAAATCCTCAGAACTACCCATATCCCAAAGGCGTTAAAGAAATTAAGACTATATAATGGATATCTCAAAGTTGTGGAATTAGTTATCTTGATATATGACTATGGACAACATAAATTATGTCCAAAACGTAATCCAGTCAACAATACTGTTCCTTCACTGTGTGATAAATCTAACCAAACAATAAAAATGGAATTACATTCTATCACAGTGCACAAGTTTTACCCTTACACATATACATACATTAATCTAAACAACAATTACCCGATGACACGATTCTATATGACGAACAGATTTCAGATAAAGATGAATAACTTTGTTGACAACGACATGTTATGCATATGCTGACAGCGAATTGGCTGAAAGTGGAGGTGCCAGTCGAATCCTGTAGTTGAGCAATGATATGTTCACCTTCAGAAGTGTCTTATTGATTTACCGAGTTGGCTTTCAACTAATGGATCACGGCTTTGAACAGTATTCTACTCTACCGAGATTTTGGCAGCCAGGTAGTATCGCATATCGTCATACAATAAGTGTGATTTATTGCCTACATCAGTGATGTCGACAAGGTTGCTGAGTGGATTTCAACTTGTTCTTTAGGTATCATATACACTCCTAGACACAACAGTTTAGTATACCCACCCACCACCCGTTCTTCTTTACAGTCTTTAGTTTCATTGCAGTCTGTGACAAACTCCATCTACAAGTATTTTTTCAAACAGTTCTTACAACGCATAAAAAAACAAACAGAAATCAATAACATTACTTCTTCGCAAACTTATTTTATCAAAAAAAAAATGAAAGAAATAAAACTTGCTCAAATCTTCAGAACATGAAACGCATAACAAAAAAAACTGTCAGAAAAATAATAATAATAGTGAGGTAATTGTAAAAAATTAAACAAATTCTAGAACTCATTTACAAACTATTTTCAGTACAGTAAGAGGAAAAATGAAACTTAGTCGTGAGGAAACATCTGAACACTCACTCACTCACTCACTCACTCACTCACTCACTCACTCACTCACTCACTCACTCACTCACTCACTCACTCACTCACTCACTCACTCACTCACTCACTCACTCACTCACTCACTCACTCACTCACTCACTCACTCACTCACTCACTCACTCACTCACTCACTCACTCACTCACTCACTCACTCACTCACTCACTCACTCACTCACTCACTCACTCACTCACTCACTCACTCACTCACTCACTCACTCACTCACTCATTCACTCACTCACTCATTCACTCACTCACTCACTCACTGATACACACACACAACGGAACGAAACAGTAAGGGGGAAAAGCGACAAGCCATCCTTGAGAAGAATCATATCAAAATAACATGGAACCTTGGAGGTTTATCATCTACCTCATATTATCGTACACATTTTGAACAACTGATCACTAAAAATATCCCTTTTATATTAACAGTTGTAGTGTGGAATGTCTCATCAAAAAGGGGATCAGAAATTTACACGAAGGACTGATTCATTGATTGATTAACTGTTAGGTAAGAGAAAAAAACAAACAAAAAACACACGAAAGATTGAAGAGAAACTCTGATGCATTGAAATGAAAAATTTGTTCATTCCAATTGATTCGCAACACAGGTAAGCTTGTAGCGCGTTATCAACTATATTTCCACAGTGTTAGACAAAAGCTTGTGAGAACCTGTAACAATACTGTATCAGTCGGTGGTACTGCACTACTGACGTATACACAGCGAAATCCATAGATCAGTCTGAAGTGCCTTTTAGCTACTCATTTTGTTCACCGGTATATATTTCGTTAATGATACCGCATGCTATTATTATTATTATTATTATTATTATTATTATTATTATTACTATTATTATTACTATAGTGAACCAAGCTGAAATCTCAGAACGACAATAAGCATAACATCTGAACGAAGAATACTCTTTACAAAAAATATTCTCATCAAGTCCTACAATTACCAAATGCATTCGTAGGTGAACGAAAAGATAACGAATACTGACGATAGGAGTGATGTTTAGGAGGAATAACGTTTGAGAACATGTTCTTTCTGGTTCAGGTTTGATCAACCCTATGATGACAGCAGGCCTTAGCAAGCTGAGGTTTTCAAAGATGGAGGAGGTAGGAAATTGTTGGTTACTAAAACGGAGGTACTAGGTAGTGTATGGGGATCAGAGGTAGTCCCATTGCACTGGTCTACTTCAATTCATAAGAAGAAGGAGAAATCTTCATATGAGAACCACAGGGGAATCAGCTTGATCAACATTGTGTTCAAGATCCTAAAATCCATAGTAATGTGACGCCTATCTGGAGCTAGAGAAAGCCAGGCAGGTTTCACATCTAGGCAATTGTGCATATTTCTTGAACTGGAGACAGCAAATGACAAACATTGTCGATTAAGGGTCGCGTGTACTGCACAGCAGTCCACTCTGTTCTACTACACACATGTGAAACACGGTCATTGAAAGTGGAAGATATGAGAAGGCTTCAAGTGTTTGACCACCGTTGCCTTCGTAGTACAGGCCGCCATATTCCGTGGTGTCACCACGTGAGTAACTCAGAAGTCAGGCTCAGGTGTAGAGTTTTAGGAAGAAGAGGTAAATCAGTTGACGAGGTTGTAAACCTTCATCGACTCAGATGGTTGAGACATGTGTTATGTATGCCTAGTCGCCGATTGCCTTGTCACACAATGTTGGTTGAAGTAGGTCCAGGCTGGAGAAAGACCCGAGGTGACCAGACTAAAACATGGCATCAATGTATGAAGTCTGACTGTTGGTTTGAACGATGTGGAACAGTGTAGACTATCCAGTTGTGGTCGGTGGGACAAGAGAAACCAGTGAGTGGTTGGAGACTGTAGGTGATGGCATGGCTGAGAACCGATGTCAGTGGTGCAGATGTGTACACACGTTATTCTCATCTTAACTGTCACGTAACGAAAAGAAGGCAGCCAATAGGGGAGTTTTTAAGTCGTGATCAGATCATGTTCAGGTCATGATTTATGCATGCGCTGACATGAGGACCTGATTGGAGGAATTCGACCTCATACAAGGAATCGGATTGGTCCATTTGTGTCTTCACTTTCTGAGAATTTTGTAACTTCATATATGTCATGTATTTGTCTAGTAAAAGTTGTTGTCGCTGTTCTTGCAGTCACAGGCCATCTCTGTCTTCTGATTTTACCGCGGCTCAGTGAAGCAGAAGGTACTGGGGGAGGTCAGTCGTAAAGGTATCAGCTGAGGTGTCTATTGAGTCTCAGTATCACCATACCCACGCGCGCAACCCCACCACTTGGTCACAACATTAACGACGCTATACCGAATCTCACCATTTTCTGACTCTTCTTTGTCTTTCCGTACTTTATATTTCTTTTGAATGAATTTTCTTTTCTTCATCTTGTACTTCACTGCCTTTTTGCTTGATGTACTGATATGAGGAGTGGCATCTCGGACCGTAACGCCGTAATGCCTAGTCCTATGTTGATATCAATGATGATTATTTGACAATATCGACCGTGAGGTGTTGTGACGGTGTCTACCTGTGAGAGGAGTACCGAGAAAGTATATAATGTTTATCAAAGCTTCCTGCTCGAACTCACGTAGCTATGTCAGGGCTTATGGAGAGTTGTCAAGTGAGTTGACAACCAATGGTGTCCGCCAGGGATGTTCACTGTCGCCGTCCATATTTAACTTGGTCATAGACATACTAATGAACATAATCTTAGATACGTCCCACTTCAAAGGGACTGACCTAATACCTAGAGGTCATCGAATTGACTTGGAATATCCACACGATACTGTCCTACTTGGGGAAGACGCTGACGAAATGCAGGGTCTTCTGAACGCCGTGATCAGAAATCTGTGTATGTTTGGCTGGCGGGAGTTTTACACCTGTCAAATGTAAGATGATACTCCAGGACTGGACTGAAAACACTCCAAGTTTAATGATATGGAGTGAAGTGGTGGAATGTGTCGACCACTTCACTTACTTGAGGAGTTGCATCAACCCGAACCGGTTGCTTGCTGACGAAATCTCTGCTAGGATACAGAAGCCAAGTTTGACATCTGCCAAAATGCATCATCTGTGGCGCCGACTGGCGAGATGTCCGACTATCTATCAAAAGACGAGTTTGCTGTGCTGCAGGCCCTTCTCACTTGTGATACAACTACGAGATATCGCCGTTGAAAGTAGAAGATATGAAGCAATTACAGGGTTTTGACCACAGGCGTCTTCGTAGCATTGATCGCGTTCGGTGGAATCATCGCGTGAGCAATGTCAAGTCCAGGGTACTAGGTAAGACAAACAAGTCGGTTGTTGACGTTGTGCACCTTATTCGACGGAAATGGCCCGAACATCTGCTGCGTATGCCGATCCACCGTCAACCTCGACATTTCATGGCTAGGGGAAGTTGTATCAGGTTGGAAAAGGGGTGAGGGTGGCCAGACCAAGATGTGGCGCCAGTCGATAAAGTCCCTGACCATTGGTATGAGTCCTGTGGCGAGGTGTAGAATGCCTGGTTAGGGTCCGCAAGACGACAGGAATCAGTAGTTGGGGACTGTTGGTGACATGGATGAAAATTAATCACAATGGCACAGATGTATTCTCACTCCTTGACACCTTCTAGCCTTCATCTGCAGATTATTTATTCTCTCATACAACCTTTCTCACTTTACACCACTCTTTTCCTATTCACCCGTTCTTTGTATACTACTGTGAAGTATGATAACTTGAACTGATGTAGTTGTGTGCGAGATTCTACGTTGATTTTGTCACTTGGTCAGTCATATGACAGTGACTGGAAACACTAGGTGATATGGTTCGAAATCTATGCTAGTAATTTTATTTAGTGGTACACTGAGCACCTGATTGTCGTACGCATTGTCGTAGTCCCCTGCCTCAATTCTTCTAAAGTCTTTCTCTCAATTGGTTTTATCAATATTTCTTCCTTTTTGATTCGTATTCTTTGTGGTAGTAGTTAAAATGTGGCATCTCAAACACTAAGAGTGACTTTAAAGGCCATACTAATCAGCTGCTGAGGTAACCAATAACGTTTCTCTATTTTTTTATGAAAAACGACCTTTCTATCCGGAATACTGAAACCTGATTGGTTATTTCAACAGTCGCCAGATTGACCTTTAGAAACATTCCCAAATAAAGCATTGATTGGCTAGAAAAGTTATGACTCATAGATTGGGTTAAAAAAAAAACAGTTTCATCTGCTGAGATTCAAGAAGTTAGATGATTTTATACGCCACTGAACAATATGTGAGATCCAGAAGTGTTTAGAGTGAAGATACTTGTATGTAGTTCCTCATTTTCCATTATTGCTCTCTGTTGAATGACTGAAAGAGTTCATTTTTCTACACAAAGGTACCAATAAAAACTCAAGTAATAAAACTAAGTAACACAAATGTCAATAAATTGCATAGTAAAGTAAAATGAAAACTTTTACGATAGATACCACTTACATATATTGCAGATTATAATAAGTAGATTATGTACAACTATTCAATTGCATTTATATGAATTGAATAAAGAACTTGAAGTGTCACGTGAATCAACTTGACGTCGTTTAACTCGACAGACATCAGGTGATAAATTACAATTCATTGACATGGAGAACATTTTATAATTGATCACCTGGAAATAAAAATTGTTTAACAACAAAAACAAATGAAGTAAAATACAAACTATGGCAGAATGAATAAAAATTTGGTTAAAATAATCATTGGTGACTAGTTTCGAGAAGTATTCCCGAAGTTCCAATGACAAGTCGTGACCGGTGGAGTCAAAGCCTGATGGCTATGAGGACAAATACTCAGCGATGACACTGGGTGGCGGTTGCGCTATATATCGTGAGCTAACAGAAGTTGGAAATATGGGGCATTGGATCCTGACCCAGTGGCTCAATGGTAACGCGCTGGCCGCGGAACGTGAAGGTCGCGGGTTCGATCCCTGCCGGTAGGGTCGTGGGTGTGCACTGCTGAGGAGTCCCATACTAGGACGAAACAGCTGTCCAGTGCTCTCAGGTTCCCTTTGTTCCTCCAACTGATGTCAGTCTACGATGAATAACAAATTGAAACAATAGGGAACCATTTTCTTTTGTCTTATGATATTCCTTTATTTACTGAGAATATTTGTGAGCAATTGTCAGTAGGCCATAGCGATACTTCTGTACAAATTGATCGATATGCACATCAAGCACTGGAACTATGTTACACCAGCAGCTCATCATCGATAACCCTCTGATTGGTCTAAATCACTGATTATCCCAGTCTTCAAGAAATGTGTGAAGTCCTCTTGTGATAACCACGGAGGAATCACAGCCTGACGAACATAGTGTCCAAGATTCAAGGATTCTATAATCATTAGATACCTGAGTGGAGTACAAGAACAGAAAGCCCGAGAAAACTAGGCAGGCATCAAATCTGGTTGTGGGTGTATCGATCAAATATTCACACTCCGTCAGGTTCTGGAAAAACTTACTGACGCCAGACAATAACTGTATTTCTCAACCTGAAGGCGACATTCTACTCCGTCGATCGAGAAATTTTACGCCAGTGTCTCTCATTAAAGGAGGTACCGAGTATTGAAGGCTCTTTAATCGAAAACTTGTGGGCATGTTAGAGCCTATGGTGAGACATCGGGTGAGTTTTCTACATCGAGTGATGTTCGTCAAAGGTGCCCACTCTCTCCATTCTCATTCAATTTCATCATAGATATTCTTATGGAGGTCTCCCTCTAGTCATCTGACTACACAGGGATTAACCTAATAACAGGAGAATTCTCGGTAGACTCGGAATAAGCAGATGACAAAGTCCTGTTAAGTGAAGACGCTGACAAGATGTAGAGTCTTTTGGACACATTGAGTGGCAATTTGAGAGTGTTAGGGATGCATTTCTCACCACCCAAATGCAAATTGTTGCTTTAGGACTGATCTTCAACGGTACCTCGACTAACAAGAGAGTAAAGTGGTTGAGTGTTGGTCACTGGCAGTGGCCGACGAAATCTCTGCACACATTCAAAAAGCTCAGTTAACTTTTGTCAATTTACACCATCTATAGCGCCATCGCAACCTCCAATTTCCTATTAAGGGTCGAGTGTACTATGCAGCAGCCCGCTCTGTTTTACTGTATGACTGTGAAACATGTGCATTGAAGGTAGAAGCTATGAAAAGGCTTCAGGCGTTTGTCCACCGTTGCCTTCGTAGTATATCAGTACGTCAATAACGCAGAAATCAGATGTACAGTTTTAGGGGGGAGATGTAAGTCAGTTCTGAACCTTCATCGATTGAGATGGTTGGGACATGTGTTACCTATGCCTAGCTACCGTCTGCCTCGTCATACAACATCGTCGGAAATAAGTTCAGGCTGCAAAAAATACTAAGGATGGTCACACTAAAACATGGTATCAATACGTAACGTCGTTGACTGTTGGTCTGAACCATATACGACGATGCACACTAGTCGGTTGAGGTACATGGGACTCTCAGTGGTATTGCTGAGAACCGATGTCAATGGCGCAGATGTATACACACAATATCCTCATCTTAACCGCTTTACTTATTTCTCATCATTTTCTCATTCTTCCTTCTTCTTCTACCACTTTCCACTTCTGCTTCTTTCGACCGATTTTTCATTCCTTCATCATCATCATCCATTCTATTGGTTTTTTACATGATGTGGTGATATGAGGTGTGGCGATTCGGACCATTAAGCAGTAATGCCTGGTCCTATGTTGATGATGATGACGATAATGCCCACTGAAATGAGACTGAATTAAAACTATGCGACCAGTTAGTCACTAATCATCATTAAAGGCCCGATCAATCAATCCAATCTCATGATATCTTGAAAAGCAACATGCAAGGTAACAAATACCACTTTAGATCACGTAAAGCGTTAGCTTAATGAATCGTAGTAACAGTGAGGAAATAAATAGGTAGGCTTGGCATCAAGAGGATGATTAGACGATCAACTCTCACCAGTTGTAATGTGGTATATTACCAAATTAAAAAGAAGCTAAGGTGTAATCAGTATTATTATGTCTTAGTCCCTGGATGGTTTCCTATCGTGACTCAGTAGTCCAGTATATTTCGGCTGAAGAGTCCGCACTTCCTGAGTTCTACTGCTGTCCACATATTGTTTCGCCCTATATTGCTTGGAAATATCTCTGGAGTCGTCTGTTGGAAAGCCATAGCCTTGCATAAAACATTGTTATTCATCTGAACACTTGCTATTCTCATGCCTTTTTTACAGCATGACTAGTAGTTTATTTTCTACCCCTACTTTCAAGGTAATTCGCTGATTGGTTAACCCTTCCTCTTACTATGTTAATGCCTCAATTTGCAGACAAGGTCATATTTCATGTGTTTGCTGCATACTCACATGATTTTGAATTAATTGATTATTTTATATTCGGAGAAATAAACTCTTTCATCCCACCTTAGTCTCCTTACCTATTCGTCCCAGGTTGGAGTCGATGGCTATTGCGTATGAAGTTAGCTAGCTGTCAGTTCGAAATATACAACATCATCAATGTCAAATGCCCGAAATTTCGTCATCAACTTATTAGTCAGCGTTGCTGTACATAGACGGTATAAATGTGATTTTTTTCTCTCTCTATGCCGATTTATTTACCCACAACAGGTACTCTGACACAACCAAACGTCGATAGACGGACACACAAAATCAACATAATAGAACCTCGAACATTAGTAAATGACTTCACGTTGCCATACAACTTCACAACAGTAAGCAAGGTACAAGTAGATAAAAAAAAAGAATCATATCAGATTATTTTATCAATAATCGATTGTGTTATGATTTAGAAAAGTGATATTTACTATGACCACTAACGATGCAACAATATCAAGTATCAGACATCAATGTTCAACAAATTCCTAGTTGATTCCTAATTTGAAAGACTGAAACCCAAAACAAAGGAAAATGCAGCTAATACATAGGTAGTTCACTGTTTAAGATAATTTTATTGGTTGGCTGATCCACCGTCTATCAGTCTAACTGTAGACATGATAACATAAGGTACATTTCAATCATTCCCTCTCTAGACTAGTCATTTCCTTCTATTCCCACATCAGATTATCCTCATTTCTTCTGGTAAGATATTGAAAGGTTTATCATATCCACTTTGATTATGATTACTCTACCTTGGTATTGCCAATGACTTGTGACTCAATTTGAAAACAAACAACTCGATTGGTTTGGTGCAAAACATAGTTAAAAAAACCAACAATATTATTCCTTAAACATACATGCAGCTGTGATTCATTGGTCTAGGCATTCAACTTTCACAACCACTGGGGGTCGCGGGGTTCGAACCCTCAGGTTCGAACAGCTGATTCGTATTATTAGCTCAAATATACTGGATGTAGATGATTGCATCAACATGCACATGGTTGCTGAGAGAGAGAGTAGTTCACACAGCTATAAATACTGGGTGATGATTGAAGGTGAGATGGAAATTTGAACCGCGGCCGGATTCGAACCAGCGATCACCGGGTTTCTGACCCGGTGCTCTAACAACTGAGCTACGTGGTCCGACCGTTGACCAGATTTTTATTCTACTTCACTCATAAAAAGGTTTTGCCCGACTACCATGTGAATTCGTGACGCGTTACTACTACTTGATAGTATTCACACTGGCTGCTGTTTAGTCAATGCTTCTCATCCCAATCGAAATCTAACTGAGATAGAGAGGGAGAGCATCATATTGACTATCATTTTAATTACCTGAGATAGCTGTGGTTTGGAAGACTAGTGAGATAAACAAAATCTGGTTGGTAGTTGGGCTTCGTAGCTCAGTTGGTAGAGTACCAGGCCAGTAACTCGGTGATCGCTAGTTCGAATTTTCATTTCACCTTCAATCATCATCCAGTATGAATACTAGTCTGCCAAATCACGGCTATCCCAGTCAAAATGACAACTACTATTGTGTGTTAGTTGGATGGAGGCAATCGGTAAGAAGCCTTGAACCTAAGTTTTGTGCTTTTGGGCACTCGTCAGCGACGGGACCTGATGTCCCATATGGGGTTCGAACCCGTATCATCCAGCGCTGTAATCAGAGACATAACTATCAGATATACTTATTGTAGAACATAAGAATACTACTTGAGTGGACCTCATAAGCTGAAATCGGAAGATATAACGCGAGTAGTTATAAAAAACAACTACGTTATGTGGTGGGTGTCAGCAACCAAAATGTAACAGCAGAAGCTGTGGCATACACAGCAACACGTTCAAAAGAATCTTATTTCGATTCTGTAAACACCCTGAGATTATATTAAAACTTACTTATATAATGAGTAGCTAGCGTAATTGCAAAAACGAAGCAAACATATCTTGAAGATACATTATTATTATTATTAGTCCCTTGGGTTCCTAATGGAACTTAGGGCTTCAATAGTACGTCTCCAGTGAACTCTCTTCTCTGAAATCTTTTGGACCTCGCTCCACGACAGCCCACAAGCTCTCATTTCCTCCTCGCATGATCTCCTCCATGTCACCCTCGGGCGTCCAACTCGTCGCTTCTCATGGGGATTCCATTCGAGGGCCTGACGCGTGATGTCCCCAGTCGGGGACCGGCTAGTAAATAGTGAACTAGTTAACCAGGCGAGGTTGAAGATACATCAAGGAACCGTTTATTATATAGCTAAAATAATATGCTTAAGGATTATAAACTTACTTCATCAAAAAACCGATCAAGCAGAACATTTTGTGGACTTCCAGGACTTATACTGGCGACTGAATTACAGCTCTGTAAAATTTACAAATGAAATTATATAAACAATAAATAGTATTGAAGTGAAAATTGAGATAGAATTCAATATTTTAGGGGAAGTTTCAATGCCAAATTTAACATAAAGTGATAGGTTCTTGACACGTGTCTGAAGTTAACGATTATAATTTCAACTGGGGTTTTCTCTTTGATCCTAATGATTAACAGAGTGTGGATATTGTGAGAATAGTGACTCTACCTATTACTATTGCTTTAGGTTGGTTGTACTACTACTATTACTAACATCATACCAGACGTCTGCTCTACAAGCCCATAATGACTAGTAATATATTCGACAGGATAAGTGGAAAATCCACAAGACCTAAAAAGCATAGGTGTTAGGGATGTCTATATCGCTAATATTCGATACTTACAGTTTGTATATATTTGAACTGGTTTATTTGCGTTTTTCCCGCTCATGGATCATATTTCGTATGACCCGCTAGCTTTTTGATTGACTCCTGCCTCTTTAAATGTACTAATGATTCCATATCTTTCAAGGTTACTGTAAACTCCATAAATAGGGTCCGTTTCCACTCATAAATGTTTACAGTCCGAGATACTATAAACTCGTCTTTTAATTTCACTTTGCGAATCACTCCAGTTGAATCGTCTCAACCCTCGACTACCAATCACAACTACAAATCACAACAATAGGTGACTAGGTGAGAGTGGTTGAGTGTGTTGACCACTTCACTTACTTGGGAAGTAGGATCAACCCCAGTGGGTTAGTTGCCGATGAGATTTCTGCACGGATACAAAAGGCTCGATTGGCTTTTGCCAATTTGCGCCACCTATGGCGCCGCCGTGATATTCGTTTGTCTATTAAGGGTCGCGTGTACTGCGCAACAGTCCGCTCTGTTCTACTATATGCCTGTGAAACATGGCCATTGAAAGTGGAGGATACAAAAAGGCTTCAGGTGTTTGACCACAGTTACCTTCGTAGTATAGGCCACCGTATTCCGTGGTGTCACCATGTGAGTAATGCAGAAGTTAGGTGTAGAGTTTTGGGGAGAGGAGGTAAGTCAGTTGACGAGGCTGTGAACCTTCATCGACTGAGATGGTTGGGACACATACTACGTATGCCTAGTCACCGATTGCCTCGTCACACAATGTTGGCTGAGGTGGGTCCAGGCTGGAAAAAGGCCCGAGGTGGCCAGACTAAAACATGGCAACAATGTATGAAGTCTCTGACTGTTGGTTTAAGCCATGTAGGACGATGCAGACTAGGTGGTTGGGGTCTGTTCGCGGGACAAGAGGAACCAGTGGTTGGAGACCCTAGGTGATATGGCTCAGAACCGAAGTCAGTGGCGCAGATGTAAGCACACATTATCCTCATCTTAACAACGCTATACCGAATCTCACTATTTTGTCACTTCTCTTTCCTTTCTTCTCGTACTTTATATTTCTTTTGACTGCATTCACTTATCTTCATCCTTCACCTCACTACCTTTTTACTTGATGTACTGATATGAGGTGTGGCAACTCGGACCGTTACGCAGTAATGCCTGGTCCTATGTTGATAATGATGATGATGACTAGGTGAGAATATGTACAAATGAGAACAAAAGAAAAGGAGGTGGAGTTCACTCACTGTTGATTGGTCGTCATTCTTATTCACCTCGTATAGGAATGCAAGATAAAATAAGTTTTATGATGTACCAATTGGGAAAACTACACTGAACAGTTCTGGGGTAACTGGTTTTAATGAATGAAAGACAGGTCAACACGTGACCAGGCATTACGGTCCAAGTTGCCACACCTCATGTCACCACATCAATTAACAAAGGATTAAGATGAGAGCTGAAGAAAGACAGGAAAATTGTTCAAAAACGGTGAGAGGAAGGAAGAATGAGAAGATGATGAGCTATATTACCTACAATCTCCAACCGCTGGTTTCTCTTGTCCCGTAGACACCAACCAGCCAGTCTGTATCGCCCTACATGGCTCAAATCAACAGTCAAGCACTCCATGCACCGATGCCATGTTGCAGTCTGGCTGCCCTGAGCCTAAACATACTTCAGCCAACATTATGCGACGGGGCAAACGGTAGCTAGACATATGTAACATATGTCATAGCTACCTGAGCCGATGAAAGTTTACAACTGCACCAACTAACTCTCCTTTTCTCCTTAAAACTCTCCACCTGACTTGCACGTTGGTGACATGGTGACGTCACTAGACACGGCGTATACTACGAAGGTGGTGGTGGTCAAACGCTGGAAGCTTCTACCTTTAATGGTCATACAGTAGAGCAGAGCGAACTGCGGCACAGTACACTCGACCCTTAATCGACAATCGAATATCGTGGCGGCGCCATAAATGGCATAGGCTGGCGAAAACCACATGTGAAGATTCCATCGGTTATTTCCTATAGCTCAGTTCATAAGTTTTTGAACGATCCTTCAAAAAGTTGATCATAGTTGGCATTGTTAATCGACGTCGAAAGATGTATTCGCACTAGCTATCAGTAAGCGTAGAAGCAAAAACTGTGTAGTTGACTGTTATACGAGTTGGAAATAGCCATGAAAGCTTAAACTTTTGATCAAAGTAGGTTTATAAGCGGCCAGAAGCAGTTGAAACTTTGACTGAGCAAGTCAAACAAAGTTTCCCGATCTATTTAAACTTTCAGCACAAGTTCAAGTGATTTTGTATGCTGTTGTAAGCATGCAGTCAATCTGTACTTTCTGATTGTCCACATCTTAGTAGTTGTTTATGTAAAATATCAGATAAGGAAAAGAGGTTCAGTTTTACGTGACCACAGAGCCCAAGGGAAACCCGCCTTTGTAAATCTAGTCAATAGAACCCATACTACCAGCACCGAAGGATATCAAGGCAGAGGATCCTTTATAACCAGCCCTCTTTCCCATAGGGAAGGCAGCTTTAGCATGTACTGCTGTTCATCTATAGGAAACACCCTACTAATGTCACACGCAGTTAAGTCAGCAGTACAACTTGGCCCTCGGATTCCTGTCATAGTGTAAGCCATTTAAAATATAACAGCAACTGCTTTTAACGCTTACCACTAGTCCAACCAACCTTCTGGGCACGGTAGGACCTCAGGCAACACTGAGATATGCAAGTATGACCAACCCGCTAACCTTCTTCCGATGTACCATGAGGATGTTGAGTCACTTTAAAAATCATATTTCAATACGTTATTACGTTGAGTATAGGAAACAGTTGCGATAAGGCTGGTGATTCTTCTCACTGAACTCAGATTCAGTGACCATAGTAATGCAGCTTCCAGAATTTGAGACTGGTGGTCATCTGGTATTTGTTTACCGTTTGAAATCGAAATACACATGAGAATTATATAGGATGCAAATCAGTTAGGTGATCTGTTCGTCAGATATATCCGTGAACAAAAGAAATCAGTACTGGAGGAACGAACTACTTGACAGGGTTCAAAATTCATCTCAGTATAACAGATACACAATACCATCTTATTCATTAAATGTAAAAAACAAGCATCCCACTATTCTAGGCTTCTGTATTCATACTTCTGCATATGTTTCTGCTCTTCAAAACACACTGCTACAACACATTAGGTGGGTATACAGATGTTAATAATATTTTTTTGTACATGAAAGTTGAGATGAAATATAACTTAGCGACTAGACGCAGACGTGTGCACTAGGCAATGAGTTCATCATCATCATCATCATCATTATCAACATAGGACCAGGCATTACTGCGTAACGGTCCGAGTTGCCACACCTCATATCAGCACATCAAGTAAAAAGGTAGTGAGGTGAAGGATGAAGATAAGTGAATGCAGTCAAAAGAAATATAAAGTACGAGAAGAAAGGAAAGAGGAGTGACAAAATAGTGAGATTCGGTATAGCGTTGTTAAGATGAGGATAATGTGTGCTTACATCTGCGCCACTGACTTCGGTTCTGAGCCATATCACCTAGGGTCTCCAACCACTGGTTCCTCTTGTCCCGCGAACAGACCCCAACCACCTAGTCTGCATCGTCCTACATGGCTTAAACCAACAGTCAGAGACTTCATACATTGTTGCCATGTTTTAGTCTGGCCACCTCGGGCCTTTTTCCAGCCTGGACCCACCTCAGCCAACATTGTGTGACGAGGCAATCGGTGACTAGGCATACGTAGTATGTGTCCCAACCATCTCAGTCGATGAAGGTTCACAGCCTCGTCAACTGACTTACCTCCTCTCCCCAAAACTCTACACCTAACTTCTGCATTACTCACATGGTGACACCACGGAATACGGTGGCCTATACTACGAAGGTAACTGTGGTCAAACACCTGAAGCCTTTTTGTATCCTCCACTTTCAATGGCCATGTTTCACAGGCATATAGTAGAATAGAGCGGACTGCTGTGCAGTACACGCAATGAGTTACAGTGTGAGGGTTGATTAAACCATCTAACTACTCATACCACGCTAGACAGAACAAATCCTATACACATAATCCAGTGCCAAGTAAAGTGAGACAGAGTTACATAATCAACTGCCGCCTGTTCTGAATAATCAAACTGAGTTCTGTTTCATAATAATGATGGTAATGGGTTCACCAATTAAAAATAAGCACAAAGTCCATTAGGGATTTCGAAGTATCGACTTGATGCCTTCTATCAAGTAGGTGACGCACTACCATACTGCTAAATGAGGCTGATCCTCTTTAGTATATGTTAACAAATCCTAGTATGCTTGCCTCCAACACTACATGTCAACAATTAGAGTTAAAAACAGTTAGAAACCAGTCCAATCTAGAATGCCCAACTGAATATATCATTTGACATAATGAGAAAAGTTTTGGAGCTTATTTTCTACATTGTTAAGTTCTGTCTCGTCTTTGAAAGCGTCGACCGAGAAGTAATTTGGAAGTTGCTTCAACACTACCGACTACCACAAACCTTTATCAGTCTCATTCAACAACTATATGAAGACTCCACATGCAAAGTAATTCACAATGCGAAGCTCAGTGATGCTTTTGAAGTAAAGACAGGAGTAAAACAAGGCTGTCTACTATCACCCATGATTGAAATGGACTAGATCATCCAACAAACAGTGAGGAGCGAGAAGAGGGGGATAAGCTGGCTGGACCGGGGAAAACATCCTAGAAGATTTAGATTTCTATGATAACTTGTGTCTAATGTCTTGTGGCGCAAACTCGAAGATCTACAGGTAAAAACTAACAAGTTGACAAAAGAGGCAGGGCTGCGAAGACGGGACTTCAAGTGAACGTACAGAAGACAGAGGTGGTGATAATACCCAACCAACACCACCACCAACAAGCTCCAATCACGATCAATGGGAGAAACTTAAATGAAGTAGCCTCTTCCACCCACCTACCCAGCCAGCATCGTTTCAACTACAGGAGACACAGGCACAGCCGAGGACGTCAAAGCCAGACACGATCGGAAATACAGCAACACAGGCCTTCGTTAACCTGAAACCAGTGTGTAGATCTACTACACTCAGCATAAAGAACAGGATCCAAGTGTCCAACACAAATGTTAAGTCAGTGCTCTTATATGGTTCAGAAGCTTGGCGCGTTACGAAAAGGACTTCCAACAAACCATAGGCATTTATCGACAACTGCCTACGCTGGCTCGCTACTGAAACTCAGATGGCCAGAAAGGATAAGCAACAAGAAGCTGTGGCTGGCTGGCAACGAACCAACCAAGAACCTATCACTCAACAAATATGCAGAAGGAAATGGAGATGGATTGGACATACACTGAGAGAGCAGATTGGGGACATCACGCGCCAGGCACTCGAGTGGAACCCAGATAGGAAATGACGAGTTGGGCGTCCCAGCTGAGGATGACATGGAGGAGATGGTGTGAGGAGCCAGGTTCAAAAGTTTGCAGAGAACAGAGTGCTACTGAAGCCCCATGTTCCACTAGGAACCCAAGGGACAAATAATAATATAATATGTTCTCTCTCATTCTTTTTCTTACCTTCGTTGCATCTCTGCACCAATTCCATTGGAAGCCGGTTATTGATAAGACCATAAACTAAGCGAGTGTTTCGCTAGGAGTCGCTTATAGTAAATACTAAACCATATGATGAAATATGTTATAATATGATACTCGAACATCACATTAACTGTACAACAAATGGGTATTTTTCAAGCTAACGCAGATTTCCGTTTAGATTATTGCAAGACAGTTAAAACACAAACATTTCCAATCATAACAAAATAAAGTGCTTACCAGTAGAATTTCTGAAAAACCCTGTTCCGCAGCAAAATTCCATACTTTATTATCTCCTGATGAAAGTGAAGACAGTTGACTATCGCTTAAATCCACGTAAACACTTTGATGTCGTTGTGTTGGTGGTGGTAGTAGTGGTTGCGATAACGGTAGTGATGATATTGATGACTGACTATTGTTATTACGATAAACATTTTGATGATACAACGAATTCCATGATGCAGATGATGAAGATGGAGTATCTTCAAAAAACTGTACAGATGATATGCATGATCTAGGTGTCATCATAACACCAGGATAATTATCAGCTGATAATTCATTATCATAATGATTTGAAATGTATGAGGATATTGGATTAAAGCGTGAATTAACTCTACGCAATGATCGTAGACTCCGTGGACCAAGTAAATCTAATTTTGTACCAATCACTAAAACTGGTGGGTAGATTTCATCAGTCACATTCTCTGTGTTCCGCATGGGTAATAAACTGGTCATTTGATTGGTCATATTGATTTTTACTCCACCATTGCCTAAACCAGCAGCACCACTGACACTACCAGCTGCGGTTGTCGCTCCAATCACTCCGACATCTGGTTCCGGTCTATGAAACAAATACATTTCAGTAGTAAGAGCGATAAAAATTAGACAAAAATCTTTTGATAGAATCATCATCCAGTATAAATACTAGTCTGTCAAACAATGGCTATCTCAGATAGTCAAATGAGAATTAAGCTTGTCAGGAAAATATATGAAATATTAACCACGACTTTCCAGGCCATAGGTGAGTTTTATTTTAGCCAATCAACTCTTTCAGTAACATAAGAGTAAAACTTGGGCACTGTGGCCGATCGGAATTTCCATTTCACTCTGTTTATCAGAAATATCACACAGTCAAACAATAGCATTGACTGGATAACCACGTTTCAAACACAATTTATTGTCCATATTCATATCAGATCAGGTAACTCCACAACTTTATATATTCCTAATTTTCTCTCCTTCTTTGTGATGACAAGGGTAGTAGAATTTTCCATATATCTAGGACAGGTGTAGAATCATTTCTGTTACTGCATGTATTCGGTGTATGTTGACTCGACAAATGGAGGTTCTATTTCAATCTCTCCCTCCCTCCACCCAAATAAGTTAGTTTCCAACACTGTCGCCCTATCCTACCCTACTGTGTGATTGTGTATCATCGCATACAGAGCTATAGCCGAGCTTTTCTCTAAATTTCTTATCCTATTAGGATCTACTAACCTTGATTCAGCTAAGTTTTTGTGCTCTATTATTCTAATCTAACCTAGGACGATGCAGACTAGGTGGTTGGGGTCCACGGGACAAGAGGAACCAGTGGTTGGAGACCCTAGGTGATATGGCTCAGAACCGAAGTCAGTGGCGCAGATGTAAGCACACATTATCCTCATCTTAACAACGCTATACCGAATCTCACTATTTTGTCACTCCTCTTTCCTTTCTTCTCGTACTTTATATTTCTTTTGACTGCATTCACTTATCTTCATCCTTCACCTCACTACCTTTTTACTTGATGTGCTGATATGAGGTGTGGCAACTCGGACCGTTACGCAGTAATGCCTGGTCCTATGTTGATAATGATGATGATGATTCTAATCGATTCTGGTCGACTGCTTTGACCTATGTATTTCACCTCACAATCATTGCAAGGGATCTGGTAAACCGGATTACTTTGCTTAATTGCATCGATAGAATTTTTTAACCTACAAATCTTGTTTATCTCAGCGAGTTTGTTAGTTTGAATGCCACTTTAATCCCCGTCAACCTTATTGAGAATTCTTCGTAATGCTTCTGAGGTGCCTTCTTTGTATGGTAACACAGCAGAGGCTTTGAATTCTCTCTTAACCCTGTCGCCATTGTTACCACTACTACTACCACTCCTAATATTTTTCTTTTAATTTCTTGAGTTTATTTATAAATTTTGGTGGGTAATTATTGAGACGTAGGATATTGTTGATGTGTCTAATTTCTTGTCGCAGATTTTCCGATCTACTAGTAAACTTTTTCGATATGTTGGATTGCAAGATTAAACGAACACAAGAAGGAAATCTAGAGACTAGTGTCTATAGGAAACCTACTCATTCGAATTGCTACTTAGACTTCGAATCCTTCCACCCCATTTCAGTTAAAGTAGGCCTAGTTAAATACTTAAGTGATAGAGCGAAAAAGTTTACTAGTAGATTGGAAAATCTGCGACAAGAAATTAGACACATCAAGAATATCCTACGTCTCAATAATTACCCAGCAAAATTTATAAATAAACTCATAAGAAATCGAAAGAAAAATATTAGCAGTGGTAGTAGTAGTAGTAGTAGTAACACAGGTGTCATTAATAATAATTGCGCTGTGTGATATTTCTAATAAACAGACTAAAATGGAACTCTTTCAGTACTTGTGACCTTGATTCTGATTGGCTGTCTCTATCTTAGCTAGGTCTAGTTGATATTTCCTTGTAGTTGATTCGGTGTCATAGTTCAAAGTTGTAATTACTATTACTTTGGTTACAATCGTTATTTACAGTGCTATTTCGACAAAAAAAAGCTTCAGTATTTTGCTTTAAACTTTTGGGATTTCATGCATGACTCTAGCTGAGGTCTAGCAATAGCCGTTTTAGATTTAACAGCAAACGTAACTTTCCTTTAGGATCTATTGAATTGGTGAAGATACAGAAAAATGGTAAAAATGAGCATTTTTTTCTCTTCTTTGAGCTACAATGATCGGCTGGTAAGAAAATAATAAGCAGAAAGGGTTAGCAGCATAGAAAGTGCTTTTTTTGACTGACATAGACAGCCTACTACTTAATCTCCTCTAAATCGGAGCTTCATCGAAAATGATCTCTCTTTAAAATAGCCATTTGTTCAGATTCCGTTTTTTTAAAACATGAAACTAAGGCTTTAGGGGTTAGAGAGAAAAACAACCTAGTTTTGATGTGCAGAAAATGTTTACACAACCCTTTTCATCTCTGGTGAAGGCAGTGAAAACTTAACAGATGATTTCAATGATAAAATTCTTTTTCTTCACGCCATTTGTATGCGTATAACATTCGTTTAGGCTTTGGTTATCATACACTTCATGCTTTCATGATCATTTTCTTTATCATTATTACTTGTCCCCATTTCATTCTGTTCTCTGCACTCTTTTGAACCTGGCTACACTACTGACCAGAAGCTTTCACTTCTTTATGACAAGATCTCTCCCATGTCACTCTCGGACGCCCAACTCATTCTTTTCTATTCGGCTTCCACTCGATGGCCTGGTGCGAAATGTTCCCAAATGGTCTCCTTCGTGTATGTCCAGTCCAGTCCAATTCAATCCATCTCCACCCTCTTCTGCACATTTTTTGGGCGATGGGTACTTAGTTGGTTTGTTGCTAGGCCAGAGTTCCTTCTTGCTTATTCTTATTATTGTGGCCACCTCATCTTCACTATCGAGTGACTGTAGGCTACAGCTGTTGATAACGTATGTCTACAGTTTATTAGAAATGCTTTTCATGACGCGATAAGCCACTAAACCATTACATAGAAGTACTGACTTGACTGACAGTGTTGAAAATCCGGATCTTGTTAATATAGGAGTAAAACTTGGGCACTGTGGTCGATTGTAATAAACAGACTAAAATGGAACTCCGGGTCTTGTTCTTTTTGCTGAGTCCAGTGCAGTACATCTCCACACGTATTTCAGAACAACAATCGCCTATCTTGCCTTTCTGATCCTGGCTTTGACATCCTCATCTGTGCCGCCGCCGCCACCTGTAGTCGAAACGATGCAGCCTAGGTAGGTGAAAAAGACAAATTCCTCTAGATTTCTCTCCTCGATGGTGACTGGTGCTTGTTGTTGGTTGGGTATCTTCATCACCTCTGTCTTTTTCACGTTCACCTGAAGGAAATCCTGTCTTCCTTCGTTGCCTCACCTTGCCTCTTCTATCAACATGTTAGTTTTCGCCTGCAGATCTTCAAGTTTGTGCGACAAGACATTAGACATAAATCATCATCGGCGAAATCCAAATCTTCTTCTGGGGTTTCTGAATCGGTTCAGCCAATGTATGCCCTTCTTCTCGCTCCTCACTGTTTGTTGCATCATTCAGTTGAGTCCGGTCGAGCACAATCACCATCGGTGATAGTAGGAAACCTTGTCTTACTCCTGTCTTCACTTCAAAGGCATCACTGAGCTTTCCACTGTGAATTACTTGGCATGTGGCGTCTTCATATAGTTGTTCAATGAGGTTGATAAAGGTTTGTAGCACTAACACCGTAGTGTTGAAGGAGTTGCAGAATTACTTCACGGTCGACGCTGTCGCAGGCCTTTTCAAAATCGATGAAGTTGAAGTAGATAGTTGACTCGTATTCTATGCTGTATTCTACGATGATACGTAGCTTAGCGTTCCAATTTAATCCGCACATGATTTGCTTTTCCTGAAGCCAGCCAACCTGTTCCGGTCGTAATTCTGAATCCAGAGCATTTTTTAGTCTCTTCAGTATGATGTGGCTACTCTCGTATTACACAACTTTTATTGTTGTAACTTTTGTCCTACATTGATTGCTTCAGTGTCTGCGGTATTATGGTGTCCTCATCATTTTGATCGTCACTCAGATAAATATTAGACCGGGAGACATGCAGACAGAAACAACATAAAAAACTCGCACAGAGATGCATCACTGAAAGTTGCCACTTCACAGTAGTGCCGAAAGAACTGGTGAATGGAAAAGGACTGATTTTTAAGTAGACAAAGTAAAGTGAGGGAATAAAAAAATATTCAAGCTTTATATGTCAAGGGGTGAATACACCTGAGCTACTGTAACCGATTTCCAGCTATATCATCATCTCGGGAACTCTACCCAGGCAGTCTACATTGTTCCACATGTCTCAACCCAACAGTCAAGGACTTCATCGATTGATGCCATATCTTGGTCTGGCCACTCTGAACTCTCTTCCAACTTCCCTTGGCATGGCAAGTCGAGGTCGGCGATAGGTCGGCATGCGCAGTACATATCCAAGCCATCTCAGTACACTAAGGTTCACAACCTTATCAACTGACTTGCCGAGTACTCTTCGCCTGACCTCAACATTGCCCACACGGTGATTCCATTGAACGCGAGCAATGCTACAAAGACACCCGTGATCAAAACCCTGTAATCGCTTTATGTCTTCTGCTTTTAACGGCCACGTCTCATAGCTGCATCACAGGACAAAAAGAACTGCAGCATAGTATACTCGTCCTTTGATAGGTAGTCAGATATCTCGTCAGTCGGCGCCACAGATGAGGCAGGTTAGCAAATGACAAGTGGGACTTCAGAGATGAGATCATATGTAGAATTATATATGTTAGAGTAAAGCCTGTGGAGATTTAACTAAAAACAATATTGTTCACTAAAATGTCTGATTATCACTGAGTTTTACTTCATTCATAATTCGACTTAACAAAGGTCGAAGAAGTGGGTTATACCCACGGACGAACTTAAGATTGATCCACACCCGATGCATGAGAGGAAAATATGAGGTTCTAACAATATGCCTTACTTAGGAAGTGACGCGCAAAATGTCTCCTCAACAAGCCCATAAAACTAGAATTCAAGTTACTAGAGTCATGGGGAAATCATGCACAAAACCAATCGCTGATGTACTAACAGAATGTTGTAGGCGGTCACTTAATGTGGCAACTTCAACCGATGCACCTATATGCAAGGTTCTACGTTGATTTTGTAAGTCAGTCACTTCACAAAGCATACATCGACATGCAGAACTTTTCTATTTCTATAAAGGCCAAGGCATTTTGGGACTAACACCCTCTGTTGACTTCCGACCATTGGTAAACTTAGAGGAAACTAAGGTTTGCCCCTGAGACAATAAGTTGATAAGGGTAGAAGAGCCATTAGAGATATCTAGCGGACAATTTAAGGAGTGAAAGAAAGGTGTTATAAATTTTTTAAACAACCTCCATTGCATTTTCAGCCTAGCGACAAATCATTAGGCATTTTTAACGTTACAACTGTGATTATTGCTTCCTTGAAGGGAGTTCCAAGGAGATAAGGCATTCTTGTTAGATGACTGTTTCAAACAATTTTTGTTATTCGAGCTTTTTTGAAAATATTTTCTCGTGATGTTCAGATAATCAGTTAGACTATAAAGATGGTTAGAAAACTGTACTCGAAGTGCAATAGTGTAAAAGACTACCTTAACAGAGTATTCTGACAGCATATTTTAAAATGTCTTCCAGGCAATAAATCCAAATTTGTCAGTCTTCTTCTTCTCGTTTCGAAATTATCCCTTGGTAAAAGTAGATTAGAACGGAGTTAATAGATGTGCCCAAAGTCAATGTTATCGGGTCTTAACACTTTATGCTACCACATAACATGGGCTTCTGGAGATTAGCCCCTTGATTCCTGATATTTTCTAACTTCTCCATGAATGATTGATGTAACATTGTTTAACATTTTATATAAAGCGTACTGTCAGCATAAATACTAGATCCTTATTGGTCCTATTCCAGTTACACTTTTGAAAATCTGTCAATCCCAAAAACCATCATAACCATTCATCCCGTTTAACATAACATGTAACATTGAATGATTCAGCCAACTTAAAGTAAGTTAGCTTACTGGAATGACTATGAATACATCAAAACTGCTTCTAAGTAAACAGCAATTGTAGTTTAACAAATCAGAGTTGAGCAACGTCTTAAACCTGTAGCTTTACACCTATGACCTCTTATGAGTATACAGTTACTTCAAAACTGGTCTACATCTATGCCCAATATGAGAATAGAAGCAGAAGTGATTGAGCTCACTAATCACTTCATTTACTTGGAAATCCAGTTGGTTGATGAGTGGCAGCATCTCGGCACAAATACTGAAGGCTTGATTGCCATTCACTGATACTACCACTGAGTTGTAAGTATATTTACCAGATAGTGTCCATCAGACAGCAGTTTGACTTGTTTCATTATACGCTGGAAGTTGAAGATATGAGCTTAAGATAATTGCGCAGTTGTTGCCTACACAGCACGGCTCATACGAAGTGTAACCAAAGTATGAGGAATTCATATTATGCGCAAAGTATTGAGTAAGGGAGTTAACTCGGTTAGTGAGGTTGTGAACCTTTATTGACTACAAGTGTTATGTTTCTCGACCTGAAGGCGGAATTCAACTCCATTGATCAAGAAGTCTTATGGCAATGTCTATCAGTGAGAGGCGTGCCGAGTAACCACATCACCTTATTGAAGGCTCTCTACTCGAACACTTGTGGGCGTGTTACAGCTTATGGTGAGATATCCAGGAAGCTATGCTCATCGAGTGGTGTCCGTCAAAGGTGCCAACTCTCTCCATTCTCATTCAATTTCATCATAGATATTCTTATGGAGGTCTCCCTCTAGTCATCTGACTACACAGGGATTAACCTAATAACAAGGAGAATTCTCGGTAGACTCGGAAAAAGCAGATGACAAAGTCCTGTTAAGTGAAGACGCTGACAAGATGCAGTCTTCTGAACACCTTGAGTGGCATTTTGAGAATGTTTGGGATGCGTTTCTCACCACCAGACTGCAAATGTTTGCTCCAGGATTGGTCTTCAACGGTGATGTGGCTAATAATAGAGGGTGTAGTGATTAAATGTGTTGGCCGCTTCACTTGACTGGGAAGTAAGATCAGCCCTAGTGCGTTGGTCAGTGGCAGTGGCCGATGAAATGTCTGCATACACACAAAAAGCTCAACTGGCTGTCGCCAACTAACGCAACCTACTGGGCCACCCTGATATCCGAATGTCGATTGAGGATCACGTGTACTGCACAGCAGCTCATTCTGTTCTACTGTATGGCTGTGAAAAACGGTCATTGAAAGTGGAAGACATGAGAAGGCTTCAAGTGTTTGACCACCGTTTCCTTCGTAGTATAGGCCGCCATATTCCGTGGTGAGTAACCCAGAGGTCAGGGTCAGGTGTAGAGTTTTAGGAAGAAGAGGTAAATCAGTTGACATGGTTGTAAACCTTCATCGACTCAGATGGCTGCCTGGGATATGTGTTACACATGCCTAATCACCGATTGCCTCGTCACACAATGTTGGTTGAAGTAGGTTCAGGTTGGAAAAAGTCCCAAGGTGACCAGACTAAAACATGGCATCAATGTATGTAGTCTCTGACTGTTGGTTTGAACAATGTGGAACGGTGTAGACTAGCCGGTTGGGGTTAGTGTTGCGAGAGAAACTAGTGAGTGGTTGGAGACTGTAGGTGATGGCATGGTTGAGAACCGATGTCAGTGGCGCCAATGTATACATACACACACATTATCCTCATCTTAACGAGGCTATACCGAATCTCACCATTTTCTCATTCTTTCTTTCTCTCTTTCCGTACATTATATTTCTTTTGACTGAATTTTCTTATTGTCATCTTCCACTTCACTGCCTTGTTTACTTGATGTACTGATATGAGGTGTGAGAAGTTGGGCCGTTACTCAGTAATACTTTTGTCTTATGTTGGTGGATGATGCTGGTGATGCATTTCAATCTTCTGAAGTAGAACACTTGCAAAGTCAATCAGAAAGAGAGATAAACAGCATTTCTGCATAGAAACATTATTATTACTATTATTATTATTAGTATCAAAACAAAGAAAATACCCGACTTTTACAAATTATTTCTAAATATCTTTGTCTGTGAACTCCAATTCTAACAGACAGTTTGCGAAGATATCAGTTGAACATGTTAGGAAACTATTTTTAAGAGAAGAATTTCATAGGATTATCAAGAAGTTAGCTAGTATCCTCACTGAAATCGAATAGAAAAATATTTCTCCGATACTATTTGTCATCATCATCATCTAGATCAACCTAGGACCAGGCATTACTGCGTAACGGTCCAACGTGTCACACCTCATATCAGTACATCAAGTAAACAAGGCAGTGAAGTGGAAGATGAAAATAAGAAAATTCAGTCAAAAGAAATATAATGTACGGAAAGAGAGGAAGGAAGAATAAGAAAATGGTGAGATTCGGTATAGCGTCGTTAAGATGGGGATAATGTGTGTGTATGTATACATTGGCACCACTGACATCGGTTCTCAGCCATGCCATCACCTACAGTCTCCAACCACTCACTAGTTTCTCTTGTCCCACTGACCACAACTGGATAGTCTACACCGTTCCACATCGTTCAAACCAACAGTCAGAGACTTCATACATTGATGCCATGTTTTAGTCTGGTCACCTTGGGACTTTTTCCAACCTGAACCTACTTCAACCAACATTGTGTGACGAGGCAATCGGTGATTAGGCATGTGTAACACATATCCCAGGCAGCCATCTGAGTCGATGAAGGTTTACAACCATGTCAACTGATTTACCTCTTCTTCCTAAAACTCTACACCTGAGCCTGACTTCTGAGTTACTCACGTGGTGACACCACGGAATATAGCGGCCTATACTACGAAGGCAATGGTGGTCAAACACCTGATGCCAGCCATCTCATGTTTTCGACCTTCAATGGCCATGTTTCACAGCCATACAGTAGAACAGAGTGGACTGCTGTGCAGTACACGCGACCCTTAATCGACAATGTTTGTCATTTGCTGTCTCCAGTTCAAGAAATATGCACAATTGCCTAGATGTGAAACCCGCCTGGCTTTCTCTAGCTCCAGATAGGCGTCGCATTACTATGGATTTTAGGATTTTGAACACATGGTGACACCACGGAATACGGCCTATACTACGAAGACAACGGTGGTCGAATACTTCAAGCCTTCTCAATTGAAGTCGAACTCAAGAACGAATCACGCATTGTTAGAGTATGCAATAAACCATATCTATCATGACAGCTAGTGATACTAACTGACTGTCCAATTCTTGATAGATGGGGCAGGGTTCTACCCCACGACCCTTTGGTTGAAAATTGAATATTTAGACCAATAAGCACCATGAAAATACGTTAATTCTATGATCAAAAATACAATTTCTAAACTTACTTTTTCATAGCTTGTCTACCTAGTACATCACACAACCACTTTCTTAAATTTAATTGTGATTTACTATTAGTACAATCATAGACTAATATGAGCCCGTGTAAATTTTGATAGAATATTGATCGAGTATTAGCATGACTGTTGGAACCGCCAATATCCCATAATTCAATAAAATATGGATGTTCTTTTGTAGGATCATTTTTACATAGATGAATCTAAAGAGTTAATCAATAAAAATTTGTAAGATAATAACAATACAACTTTTATGTCTACACTACAACCAATTGTGTACGAAGGATGAAGTAGGGTTTGTTGATTGCATATTAGATGGACTAGAGCTGTTTTTCCAACACCTTTTAAAATGTTACAAATTGGATGATTGTTAAACTTATTATAATTAACTTACCGGAATCACCGCCTACAACAACTTTTGCCTTCTCAAACTCCATAAACAAAACTGAAATTTAGATTAGAAGTAAAACATGATTTACCAAAATCGCTTTACTAGTAACCTCTTTCCTTCAGCATCGTTGATAAACAATAATTGTCATCGAAAAGCAACTGAAAAAAAAAGAGTTTACGGTAATTCTAAACACTACACTTACTAAACTACTAAGTGGCACACTGAAATACTTTTAGATATTTGGCACATGCCTTACAAACGACTTATTAAAAAGTGTAATAAAAGACATAGCTGTATAATTTAGTTGCTTTTTCTATTGAGTCCCATTCAAAAAGGTAGATTTTGTTCTGGTCCTATATGACATCATAAGCCAGTATTTAGAAACATGGGATGATATGGTTATAAAGTCGATAGTAATGGTGACGATATACTTATTTCGCTTTCTTTATATTCTAGATGGCAAATTACTACATTCCAGATGACTAACTGGCTGATTGATCGGTTGATAAAATTAAAGTAGAATCTCGTATATTGATGCATCACTGAAAGTTGTCACACTTCGGAGTAGCATACAAACAACAGGTGGATAAAAAAAGACTGGGAAGTAAGATTAACCCTGATGGCTCAGTGACCAGCGAGATCTATGCATGGATGCAAAACGCTCGGTTGACTTTTGCCAACGTACAGCATGTCTGGCGCCACCGCTATATCCGATTGTCTATTAAGGGTCGAGTGTACTGTACTGTAGTCTACCCTGTTCTACTCGATGACCGTGAAACATGGCCAGTAAAGTTAGAAGACATGAGAAGGCTTAAGGAGCTTGACAACCGTTGTCTTCGTAGCATGGACCGTGTGTAGTGGTTATCACGTGAGTAACGTAGAAGTCAGGTGTACAGTTTAGGGGAGGAGAGGCAAGTTAGTTGATGCGGCTGTGAACCTTCATCCACTTAGATGGCTGGGACAAGTGTTACATATGCATAGCCACCGTCTTACTGGTAGCACAATGTTGGCTGAAGTAGGTTCAGGTTGCAAAAATGCTCGGGGCAGCTAGACTAAAACATGGCATCAATGTATGAAGTCTCTGACTGTTGGTTTAAGCCATGTAGGGCGATGCAGACTAGCCGGTTGAGGTCCACAGGACAAGATAAACCAGTGGTTGGAGATTGTAGGTGATATGGCTCAAAATGATATCAGTGGCGCAGATGTGTACACACATTATCCTCATTTTAACTGTTATACTCAATCTCATCACTTTCTCATTCCTTCTTCTCATACTATACTACATTCTACTTCCTGTGACGAACTTTTCTTCCCTTGTTTATCTTCTATTTTATTGTCCTGTTACTTGGTCGTGTGTTAATCTTGATGATGATAACGTTTAGTTCAATCTGAAACGACTCACGTGAGCACGTTGAGGTTCGAGCAGCAAAACGATCATTAAGTAAAATAAAAAGAACTGAGCAGTTAAAAAACCCCATATAGATGGAAAACAGATAAAGTGAATGTATGACAAAATGTCCTAGGTATTCTAATATTTACAGCTACATAACCAGTCTCTAACAGTCAGCTTTGCATATCACCCTAACCACAACCAGAAAACACAAAACTACAGTACTAGCTTCGTATCGTAGTAGTAAACGTTCATCAAATCAAAAATCTACGGTAGGAGGAAATCCACCGTTGATACTAACCTTCATAGTTCTAATAGATTTGCTAAACTGAAGGCACACGATAAGGCATGCATGGAAAGTTGTCGTATTAGGTTATGTTGCTCGTAAGCGATCCACTGACTATTGAGGTGAGGCGCATCGGCATTCCATCACGGTCTATAAAATATACTATTTCCACCCAGCTATTCAACTGTCTTCTTTCTTGGTCTCGCACTCGTGGGCATTTTACAAGTACGAATAATTAGTGTTTGTCGTATCTCGACAAAGTCCACGTAAGGACAATTTCTAAACTGATGAACCTATTCCTTTTTGTGTGCAAAAAGGACACACACAGGTACAACTGTGCATTTCTGTTTATATATTCATAACTTTAATTTATTCGTGTATTATGATCTTCCGCAGCTATGTGCGACCGAACTCCAAAACTTATCCGTATTAAACCGACCATATAGTCGATCCAGCTCATGCCATTCTGTCCAGACAACGTCAAAGTTCATTTACGAGAACAAGGAGTTACAGACCCACATTCTCAATACTCATGTGATGACTATCGTGGAAATTAAACGGGGATGTTACGGCGAATTTGTTTAACCCTAAGTCATCCTTATATACTGCTCAAAGCAGCCCTTCTGAAGAAAGGCGACCTCATAGATCGTCAACGCTTAGATGAATCGATCTGTGAAACTGTGTAGGGAAATAATCCAGCTAATCATGTGCTCACATAGATGCGAGAAAATATTGACCGACGAACTTTCAACGATAGCCTTTCCGTGAAGTTCCTCTTGAAACTATCACAGCCAGTGCAAAACGTCCTGGCCACACATTGCTTGGTTGTCACTGATGGCAGTCTCGGCTGACAACATGTAGATCTCAAGTAGACCTGTCCGCCAACGTATGTTTCGTCGGTGAAAAACAATGTCAGGATTCTGAAAGGACAGCAACGCAACTCTGTTGAACTCCTATGAGCTTGAAGCCCTAGGTCATCATATACGATAAAGTAACGTGTTCTATTGCATCGCGGTAATTTACGTGGTCGTCCAACATCTAAGTACCGCACAGTCAGAATGGAAACTCAAAGTGATATTGGATCCATAAAACCTGTGGTGAAGAAGCACGAGATTTCTGAAAGCAGTACACCTTAAACAAAGACTTAGTGAAGTCGGCGTTAACGGCAGCTGTAGCTGATGGAAACAGCTAATTGCTGTGCATCACAGTCATGAAAACGAAAGTTAGCTGCCTCGAAGACTCTGGTGCGGAAATTACCTTTCTGTAACCATAAGCGAACGTCATTACGACCCTGCAACAACTGGAACCTTTGGGAAAAGATATGTTTACCCCAACTTTTTTATCCAACCTCTTTGACTGGATATTTCTTCCAGCTGGTGTTTCCATGCTCATGGATTTGCATAACCGGTTGACCTATTCGTGGATGCCTGTTTACGATGACCGATAGATAACGTGAAGTTATCTAATGGTGAAACCGCCCACGTAGGTCTGACCTTAGCTGTAGCTAGAAAGATACATTCGACTTGTCCTATCAGATAGTGCCAGACAAACATCCGGAGTTAAGAAAACCGGTGGATAATTTACCGTGCGTATTCAGCAATGTTATGCACCACATGACAACCTGAGGCATCAAAAACGCACTACCTCACCCCTGATAAACTCAGAATGATGAAGAACAGACTCAGTCACATACCTGAACCCGGCATTTTCAAGTCGTCGAATAGTTTTTGGGCACCACCATTGTATATGGTTCCCAAAGAGGACAGTAACGATTGGCTTCAACTCAGTGATTACCTACAGTGTAACAAAAAACAACTCCGGGCTGCTACTTGACACCTCATATCTACGATTTGACTGCAAATTTAAGCGGAATGAACGTATTTCCTACGATCGACCTAGTCACACCATATAATCAGATACTTAAGTTAGCGGAAGACATCTTGCAAGCAGGCATTACTACACCTCTCCTCTACAAAACTGGAAGGTTATTATATGATAGGAAATAAACGGATGTACGAAGAAAAGGCGACTTGCCTCCCTTGACCTTCATATTTTCAAAACCTGGTACAACGCATCCCTTTTTGAAAATCACCAAGGTCACAATGCTCACTGCAGTATCCAATATCTATTTAACGAGTTTGTGTAAACCAGTCGATTTCTTCGTGCCCACTTCTAGGCCTTGTGCAACAGTTTCAGGTTTTCGGCGGATTCAAACTGCAATGTATTCAATATACAAACTTTAGACTTCGTGTTGCAGAATTAGTGAATGGTGACTCTTCGAGTTCTACGCCCGTCTTATCGGAGTCCGTTCTTGGTTTGGACTGACCACAGTTATCTTACTAGTTCCGAGAAACCCAGTAAAGTAAAAGTGATCAATTATTAACTAGTCTTGTTACTACAGGTAGTGCTACTCGTCCTGATATGTAGGTGGCTGTAAGACGGTAGGACAAGACTCTAAATATGAATCTGGCTTCCTTTTGAAAGTGTCAGGGGAAGCGCCTGTAACAAATTCTGCAGATAGGGAGTTCCACAACCTAGAAAGTCAAAGTGTCAACTAGTTTTCGCAGATTTTTAAACCTCCTCTCTCAACCTCTACTCTCAACTGGTGGACTTTATGTTGGCGTTCCTGATTAAAGTTTAGGAGGGGTCTGTCAGGATGAAGAGGATTATTGGCAGTGTGACGCGTGATGATCATATCCCCTCTGAGACTCTTCCATTGTGGCGGCTGCAACTTGGGAGCAACTAAGCGATCCAGGTGAGGTTTATGCCAAAATCAAACCACCTTCTTCGAAGCTCTCCCCTTAACCCGTCCTATGATGAAGTACGGGGACATCATGAGAACATTTTTATCAATATGAGGACGAATGGAAAGTATATAAATCGCAGTGAAGAGGACTGGAGTTAGATCTTCTGAAGTTCACGAAAGAAACCTTAGGACTTCATAAGCCTTGTTGGCTGTATATATTCAGGTTTGTCACCTAAGGTAACTCACAGATATCTTCCTATGTTTGAGCGACAGATTTTGATTTCACCCAGTGAATAGGAACTGCAAACGTTCTCACGTTTGTCGGCAATCACTACCCTACACTTCTCCGAGTCGAGATGGAGCAGATTTCCTGTTGTCTAACCTAGGATTTTAGAAAGGTCCTCCTATAGGACCGAAAAATGTCAGAAGGCTCTCGTATTTCCCTCAACATCTTCAGATCATCGCTATATAATGGTGAACGAGAGGTGGAAGTTCCTGGTAGGTCGCTTGTAAAAGCAAGAAACAGCAGAGGACCCAGAATAGAACACCGATGCACATTACTCAGCGTCGGGAACCGATTCATAACAATAATAAAAGTAGGCTGGCATTTATTCTTGAACTTAC